CAGACTAAACTTATTATTATTACAATTTTATAGGCTGTTCATTTGTACTGCTTTTCTTGTTTCAAGCAGATCTCCTCAGCTGATCGGCGTTCACTTGTCCCATAACTCCCATATAATAAGCTCGTAAATAGCAGCTCCTAGCATATCTTCCTGATTTTGCGAGTAGGTAGAGTACAAATGAACAGCCTCTATACTATAAAACATGCAGAGCAGGTAACCAGAAACCGGCAAATGCTAAACAAAAACAACTAACCAAACGTGCGTTTTTATTCTCATCAAATTTGACCGATGGATCCACCAATGTCGGTCATTGTCATTTTCCATTCACTAAACAAAAATAGCTAACTCATCGGTGAATCCATCGTTGAGAATAAAAACGCACATCAACATAAGATTTTACATAACCCCAGAATCCGAGCCGAGTCTGCATTTTTGCTTTCCATTTATACTGCACTGGTGCGCGTTTTTGACAGCACTAGAAAAATTCTCGTGCGCACTGAATGCTGCACTGAGACGACAAATGGAAAACGCCATTAGTCAGACGTATTTGAATTGCACGTTTCAAATAAACCCCCCCTGGTATTGTCAATTTTTTTTTTAAATTGATGACATTGACATAAAATTTAAGCAAATAGCATGAAGCTACGTTCAGATTCAATTTCATTTCTAATTTAAAATAGCGAAAAATTATGGGTAAAAATAAAATAGTATACTATGGTCGACAGAAAATTTAATTTAAGTCGGGAATCTGAGGTGCTGAATTCGACCACCTCTATACAAGTCGCGAACATCCACCTAAAAAACATGAAATCCTATGTAAAATGACCAGCCGGATTCGAATTTCTTGTTCGCCTTTTGATCCGGAATTAGGCTCTCCAAACCACGTGATTTTTCAATATGGCGACCGTGGAAAATTTGACGTTTGTTTGTTTATCTTGAGTTTATTTGGAATATTTTAAAGCTAATTACAGTTTACTTTGTTATAATATACTTTTTGAGATGCAGAGTGAATATTTAAAGACTTGAATGCAGGAAAATCGGGATCTGGGCGAACGGTTAGTTTAAAAAAATGTCCAGATGACATTTTGATCCACAGTTCACATTAATGAGCAAATGAAGGCCTACAAAAGCTTAGATTCTTACGAATATTTCAAAAATGGCTTTATTTCAGATGCAGGAACAGTGGTAGTGAAAAATTTTCACGTTTTAATTGGAAAATTTTAGAACAAAGGGCAATTAAAAAAGCCTAACATCATCCTTGTTACCTTGTTGAAACTACTTCCAAAATCAACTTCAAGACCCGTTTGTGGCATTTTTAATTGGAAGAAACACTAATGAAGTCAATAAAATAAAAAAATAAACAGAATTTATTCACAAAACAACCACAAAATGCACTTTAAAAAGCTTTAAATTACATACTCTCATATACGGGATAATGAACTTCCGCCACAACGCACTTTTTGACAGGTCGTTGGAATGCCTAATTGCGAAATGTGTCAAAACATGACATTTTTGAAAAAACTGAAAATTTCCATTGAAATAATTTTTTTTGAAAACTAGTGCATAACTTTGTTAATTGATGTCTGATTGTTATGAATTTTGGATATGATATTTTTCAGTACTTCCCTGACATAGTTTCATAACAATAAAAAACATAGAACGTCACATAAAAGCTACGTATTTTTTTTTTCGCCAGATGACACAAAATATCATCATTTTGCAGCGTTAAATGGTGAGTCGAGAAAACTTTTTTATCTTTAGAGATAGATACCAAGTATAAGCGAGAAAAATGTTGCCAATGGAGTAAAGAAACTTTTTTACCAAAAACTTTTTTTCCATACGACGTTTAGTTTGGGCTGTATTTTTTTTAAAAACCCAAAGAAAATTGAATTGCCGCGTCTCAACTCTCGGCATTGCCGGTGAGCGCGATCTTAGGACGTGGTGCAGCGAATCAGTGTGTCAGAGAGAGTTAACACCACAGCTTTTTTCATACGTGCAACAAAGACACGCATTACGATATTGTTATAATATTGTAGGGAGTATAGGGGAATGGGGGATTTATGGGTTTGGTTGGGTTGGGAAACAATATGAATAGGAAAAATATTAATAATTTTTTTTACAAGTATAAAAAGCAATATTATCATTACCCAATCAAAATATTTATTTCACAATGCATTTTTTCTGCGAATGACAAGAAATGTCATCATTTTTGACCGGTTGACAGGTCGCAAAACTCAATATTCTGGTATTTTAATTATGTTTCAATAGTTGCTAAGGAATCAATGAATAACAATACGGGAAACACTTTTCCGGCCTAGGCCGGGAAAGTGATTCTCGTACTGCTGAATAATTTGAACCAAAAGACAAACATTTAACAGGTATTTAACCGATCGCAGAAAAAATAGTATGTGTATTTCGGTGGAAAAGCACATTCTCAGCCTTCGGTGTTTGCCGGCCTCGGCTACGCCTCGCCCGTCAACTTACACCGTCGGCCGAGAATGTGTCACTTTTCCACCTAAATACACAATATACTATTCTCTCAGACAAACACTGACAAAAAAGGAAAAAAATAAATAAAATGTCACATAAAAGGTATAAAAATTCCATTTATTTATTTATTAATTATTACCAAATATGGAATCTATTTTTAGGGAATCCAATTAATGTCAGTAATAAAATAATAACAACAAGATTTCTTTTTTAAAACAAAGCATCAGGCTCAATTCAAAATTTTGTAGTAAACGGCTAATTCCACATGTTTTGGTGTTTTCATTCCAATTAATACAAATAAAAAGTCTTGACAAATATCCAAAACCTTTTCTTCAAGCTCCTCTTTCAACAGAACTTTTCAATCTTTGTCAAAATTTACTTCTTTTTCACTAGTTTCTCAGTAAGTATCCACGAAAAAGGTTGTATAATGACTTTGGTATGATATTAGGATGCACTTTCTTCAGTAATTGTCAAAGTTTATAAGGAGAATGGCTTTCATTGAAAAATGTGGCGTCAGAATTTGAAAAACTTGAATTCCTTGCAGCGTCTTATTTATTGATAATTACTTTAGTAGAGCAAAGATAACTTGAGAGTTTTCAATCTCTTTTTAAGAGAACAACCATAATTGTTCTCTTAAAAAGACTTTGCAGGTTATTGATAATCTCTTCTGACGATGAATATTCTGCAGTTCACTCAACGTTCCATAACTATGCTTCCTTGCTTCCCTATGTAGGATGATTTCTATTGTGAAGACCCTATTTTCTATAAATGGGGCATTTTCTATAATAAATTCAATTTTAATAAAAATAGTTCCAAACGAAAGTATGTACTTCAGATTCTTGTAGGGAATTTACTTCTGATTTTGATTTTTGGGATAATTTCAAGAAACACAGACTATGATACGATTGATATGCACATTCGTGAGCAATCATTAACAAAGTTATGCACTAGTTTTCAAAAAAAAATATTTCAATGGAAATTTTCAGTTTTTTCAAAAATGTCATGTTTTGACACATTTCGCAATTCCGGATCAAAGGGCGAACAAGAAATACGAATCTGGCAGATCATTTTACATAGGATTTCATATTTTTTAAGTGGATGTTCGCGACTTGTATAGAGCATCTTTAAAAGGCTTCCTAGGAGGCGTCAGATTCCCAACTAATTACTGTCTCGAGATATAGTTAATCTCGACGCTACGCGTCTCGATGAACTATGAAATCTCTCGACAGTAATAGCTAATTTCCCGTCTCGGATTGTAATATAATAATAATAATCTTTTAGCAAAATAGGACTAAAGCTCCGCTGGTTTTATTCCAGAAATACCCTAAAGCTGTTGATAATTAAATCAGGCTCAATTTCTCAATGAGATGGAAACTTATACTGTCAGATGATTAATTTAGAGGCTAGGATGGTTCCGAAAAACAGAACAACAATACTCAAACCTTGTTAATATATACTGGGTGGGTCTAGTAGGCTCTCAGAAGGGTGAGGATAACAAAGTCCCCAAAGTTCTACGGACGATCCACCAAATTCAGGAATACTTGTCGAGAAAATAACCAATCTCCAAGTTAATTCAAGGCCTGTGTGAATGCTTAGCTTCAAGATAGGGTTGGATGCCACTTGCTTGATAGGTTGTAGATACAGAGACGAAGGAGGGAACATAAAAAAAAAGCCTAAAACAATGAATATTGCATCAGGCTTTTGCAGAATAAGGTATGTACAGTATTTATTTAAATATTTTTAGCAGTAAAGCCTCAATTTAATATTCAAAAGTGAGAAAATAAGGAACTTACCAATGGGAATAAATTGGCCTTTTTTGCATAACTCAAAAACGTGGAACCACAGTCTAGGTTTTTCTCCAGTAATTCGACAATAAATAAGCAAAATAGTGCTTCGGTGCTATAAAAGAGCTAATAGCCACCTTTTGACGAATTATTTGGACTTAAATAATTTAAATTCCTTATTTTCAGATAAATGAGTTAAAATGACTGATGGTGGAGAAGTTGAGATATAATTGTTTTATTTAATGAAGTACTGAGCAATGTAAGCAGTTATTTAGAAATTAAACCAAAGGTACTTAATGGTAAATTTCATTTCAGGAGGGTTCGAACCTATTATTGTGACCTGTAACAAAACGTCAATTCTCGAGTACTCGGTAATTCGCTAGGTCATTGTCATTCGATTCTCGAAAACTCTGTTAGGAGTATTTGGGTCTCTGGGGTTAACGTCCGGTTTTGTATATGCATTGTGGCAAATAAAGCAATACCTATCGGAAATCGCAAATTAAAATAAAAAAATATGAAAGAATATTATATTAAATCACGCTTTGTAAACACCCATTAACAAAAGCTCTTTTCGGATTAAATAATTTCAATTATATCAATAATAGTATGTCAACCCGGAAATATTTTGTGCGATATTTTATTATAAAGTCATAGCCTCCTTACAGTAGAGCACAGTTACAGTAGAAGTTTGATATTCAGTCGAAGTCTACTGAACAAAAAATAATAATGAAAAACTGGGGAGTTTTGGTTTTTGGATTTTTGGTGGTCAGCATATTGGTAATTAAATTTACGAGTTACATAAAGTAGAGTAATTGAATAATAAATGTTTAGGTTTTTTCCAATGGTGCCCCCCAAGGTGGTCCGCCTAATTTTGGATTTGGTATGGGTGTATCTGCTGGCGGTAAGTTCTCATTTCCAGTTGGTCTAGTAATGACATCACAAAAATCAAAATGGATTTTAAGTTTTTCTGTTGGAACTCTGCTTATTGGAATATTTAAAATTAAAAGTTATTTTCAACTTCAAGGACGTCACTTCGTTTGTTTTGAACACAATGAATTAAATTTTAAAATTCATTGAGAAAATGTATTACTATAATATACACCATGTTCCATTTGATATTTCAAAAATGTTCCATCATCATCATCTCATAGAAAGTGAAACTTTACCCTAAACAATATCGAAATTATTGTTTAAGTGAAGCAATTTTTAAAGAACAATAGGACTTAAATACTTTTTTGTGTAGGACTAATTTCAGCAAATTGGTCCTTCAAACATTCCTAATTTTAGACATCCGTCAAATGTGAAAAACTATTGCGCTATCATTATTCTCTCGTAAAGATAATACTTTTGGAAGAGTAAGCCTCTATAACCCAGAATAACCAGTCTTCGTAACGCTTGCTAGCCAAAGTGGAACGTTTTGAAATATACATTTATTTTATCAAGAAACATTTATACATTCTGTGCCACAAGTAATTTCACTTATCTGAAAATAATTTGCAGAAAACAAATTAAAATTATCTAGTTTTTGATACAGAAATTTTAATTGCACAATTCAGGTTCGGCTAATGGAAATGCTGGAGGCTCAGGTTCCGGTTTCTACGGACCAGGTTGGGGCCAGGGACCACCACCAGGACCTCCACCAATGTTTGGAGGAGGCTTTGGCCCGCCGGGCGTTGGTCCAGGTTTTGGCCAGGGCTTTAACTTCACCGGCTTTGGCCCGGGCTTCAACTTCACCGGCATCGGCCCGAGCTCTAACTTCACCGGATTCTTTCCAATGAATCAGACATCTCAGATTCCAAGGCAGACTTAAATACATTATTACACTTTTGATGGGAGTAATAGATAATAATTATGTTTCTTTAACAGGATAATTACAACAAATCTTTACTAGACTAGGTTGTTTATAACATGTAACATAGGTATATTGGAAACCACAATCTTCATAGTTACTTTAATAAATAGGCAGCTTTTTACAATAAACTATTAAAGGAAGCAAAAAAGGCCTATTATTCTGATCGTATACGGAGAGCACCAAATAAGCAAAAGGACAGCTGGTTGGTGGTAAAATGACATTCGCCAAAGTGACGGGCTTTTTTTTCGTCGTGCTTGAAATCCGCTAAAGTGAATCCCCTCCATAACAAGGTGACTTAGAAAAACTCTCAAATTATCGTTCTGTTTCTTTGTTATCCTCCTTATCAGAAATTATTTAAGAATTAGTGAAAACCAGAGTGACATAATTTATTGCTGAAAATAATATTTTAATTAGCAATCAATTTGGTTTTCAAGAAAAATGGAGACATTGTATTCACGGTTTAACGGGGGTGAAGTGACCGAGGCAGTGTTTTGTGACTTGTCAAGGCTTTTGACTGTGTGAAATTATACTGCGCAAGCTCAATCACTATGGGTTCAGAGGTGTAGCTAGCTCGTGGTTGAAATATCATTTAACTGATCGCCAAAAAAGAGTTTTTATGAGGTCTTAAAAACGTTCGATGAATCAGGGTATTGGCTGAGGCGGGTGTCTCAAGATTCCGTTTGGGACCTCTTCTATTCCTATTATTTATCAATGATCTAGCAAGCTTGGAAATTGATGGTAGGTTTACCCTTTTCGCGGACAACACAATCCTGGTATTCTTTCGATCTGAACAAACTGATTGTAATAACATTAGGTTTGTTCATGAGGCGTCAAAAAAAAGCTGAGGCCAATGAAGTCGTTTTAAAACTGGATGAAAATTGTTTGAAACAAACCTCAAGTAACATCGATCAGTTTGTTCAGATCCAAAAAATACACCTATATTGTTAGCTTCAAATGTGACTGGGAGAACATGGTTATTGGGGATACTATTATTGAAAGTCGCATTGATATTGATTGGTTTATTTATTTAATAGTCTTTAGGATACAAACGGAAAAGATCCAGAAATAGTATCCTGATATTACATTATACAAAAATATAATAAAAATATATCAATAGGTAACAAATTTAAAAGTTATATCTAGCTAGAATTGAAAATACAGTATGTATTCAACAATAGAACGAAAAAAGGTACCCTGCATCAAAACATCACAAACAATATCACATAGGTAGATATTCAGGCCTATGATGTATCCTGTCCTGTTGTTTTAACGGCTGTGTTAAGGCTCAACATCTATTTCTGTCTCTATTTTGACGTATAGAATGAACAGAGGCAGATAACTTAACGCTGATGTTAAAATAACAGAAAATGATACATCATAGGCCTGAATATCACCTAGGTTTCAATGGCCAACTATCCCAAAACCTTCAACTTGAGATTCCTTGCAAAAAATATTGAACTTGTTGAAAATAAATCCAGATTACAGTCAGCAAAGGTGCATTCTGACTGTAATTTGTTCTACAATATGGAACATAAAATAAATCTAGGTTTCTGAGTCTACGAGCAGATGAACTTAATTTTATTTTTGAAAGAATGGGGATATTTAGTGTTTTTTTTTTAATTTTATTTTTCTAATTCTAGAACAGAAACTAAGTCTAATAACACTATTTTGGGGAACATTCGAGTTGCCGTTAATTTTTAATAAAAAATATAAATTCAGCAGCATTTCAAACGCCGCCGAATATGACGTCAGTTCCTACAACTCGCAAAAATGTACTGCAAATATGTACGTTGACAGATTGTCGTTGTCATTGTTGATTTCCAAGATCGCCTCTAGAAGCCTCGTTTTTATCCTTGCATTATGTAGTTTTTTGTTGTATATTTTGGACTACAGTTATAAAATTAATGTAATTTTCTAATTGTTAGTAGGTTCAGTTGAAGAACAACAGTTTCTCTAGTGTTGAAAAAAGATTTATGCCAAGTCATTTTAGTATTAAGGAATCACGACATTCAATTTGGCAAGGTTGACCAGCTTAAACGAACAAGATGCAAATAACGAATGAGGAGTTTCATCATTGTCACTCTTCAGAACTTAGACAAGGAAAGCATATAAGATGTGCGCCAGAGCTATTGTGAACGATTCTCATTGGTTGAAATGTGTATATACGTCATACAACGGCTCGATTCCAGTTCGTTTAAATAGGTGAGATGAAAACAGCATTTATGGAAATTATTGTAAAAAAAATTAGGATATTTTAAACCTGGAAGCAAGGGTATTTGTATATTGGTTAATTAAAAAAATATTAAAAATAATAAAACAATAAAATTCAAATATGATGAATGTCCCCATTCCCAAGTAGCAACTACACGTTAGAAAACGTTTATGAAACGTTGGTTTCAGGTCCTGAACGTGTACTAACGTTCTCGACTCTAGGATAACGTTACATGACGTGACGTTGTGTCATTAAGTTTAACGTTTTATAAACGTTGTTAGTGAGACGTTAGTATATCTAGACGTTGTTGGTATCAGAACAGTGTTTATTTTGAATCAGGAAAATATAAAAAAAAAAAACATTACTATCTTATAGGTTTAATTTCCAAGTGTCGTATCCTGCACTAATTATATTTTGCGTTGTTTCCTAACAAAAAATATTAAACCTATTTTTAAATTCCCGCGCCCGTAGAGGTGTAATCGAATTTTCGCGGCACACCTACAGTGTTGCCACTTTATTATAATTGTAACAGCTGTAACTTTTTGAAGATGTTTATTTCCTTATTAGAATTTAATAATATTTAATTTTATAATTTTTGATAACCAGCATTTTTTCTCTATTAGTTCATGCTTCATATATATTATGTAATTAAATTTGTCAGGAAAAAAATATCACCCTTTGTTACCACGGATTATCTTTCACGAAATTCATCTGGCAACACTGTACAACAACGTTCCCTTCGTTTTCGTTTGTGGCGTCAGGTGGCGTCGTTCTTGTACTTCATACTCAGTAAAGGGGCTAGGACAGTTCTAGGCCAAAATCAGTCATTTTCCCATGTAAATCTCCATAAGAAAATCTAAGGTTCATTCTGGCAATTTTTGTACCGTTCAAGGTCATCCCTCCAGCCTGCCAGGCAGTCGTTGCCGCTAAGCCCCGCCCCCTTTCCAGTTCCCCGTGTATTTCATTGGTCGCGTCAGCCGCCGCTGCGTTCGGGGTCTTTGGCCGTCCTGGCTCCAAGCGGCTCATTGAACACACATAGCACCTCGTGACTTGGTACCTCATTCAAGGTGCACTGTACTGATGATGACGTAACTAATAATAAAAACGTCGTTCCGCCATCGGGTCTGATGATGACGTAACTAATAATAAAAATGTCGTTTAGCCATCGGGTCTGATGATGACGTAACTAAAAATAAAAACGTCGTTCCGCCATCGGGTCGTCAACATTTATTGCAACCGCAGCGAAACCATAACTTGTTATTTTCCTGTGACCTACGATAAACAAGCTCTGACTAGTCTGTAGCGAATCACCAGCTTCGTATCCACCTGCACACTCCAGCGAACTTTTCCTAGAAATATAGGCCATCGTTTCAATTTTATTGTTGCTTATTACGTTGGCATCCTGCGATAAGCAAGTCCTAACAAGTCTCTAACCAATCAGAAGGCTGAGGCCTCTCGTCTCAATGTAAACAACTAGCCGGAGATTTTTTCAAATTATTTAGGTACATCATATTATTATATCGCTTCGCTCGTATTCGGATCAAAATCGCCGCTAGTTCGAGTGACTTTTATTGTCAACATGACTTAAACCCATGACTCATTTATACAAATATTTTTCTACAAAAATAATTCCGTCTCAAGTTTTCCCCATAAGGATTTTCCGGGAATTTTTGCTTAAATCATTCATTATTTATCATCAATATATTGCTAAATTATATTAACACGACCAACAAAAAACAAAAATAAGGCTAACGCGTCGCATAGGAAATTACACTGCTTGAGCCGTCCAGCCGCAATACTGATACACTATTTATCTTTAGAGTAAACAATTAAACCTGCGACGATAATAAAACAAGGTGTTACGTCTTAGGCATATATGTGAATAATTTCATCATAGCAGTACTACTTAAATAAAAATGTTGTGTTAGTAGTACAGCAACAGGGATTCAAGAATCAAGCATTCTTGACACGTGGTGGATGCGCCGTCGTTGACACGAAGGTGGATGCGTCGTCGGCGCCATCTTGTCAAACGTCATGGCGCCATCTGTCGTGAGTGCGGTGAATTCTTGCAATTGATCGACAGGAAGGGTTCAAAATTACAGGTTCCTGTAATATGGAGTTTGCGTGGAAGGGATTGTTCCGAGTCGTTTAGATGTCGCTACGTATATTTAATTATAGTTCAGGTTCTGATGACGTCATAGTGACCTGGGTCACGTGGGTTACGTTAGTGTGTGCCGGTGGCGCCATCTAGCGTACATAGTGCGAAGTTCGATTTATGGTTCGGGTTCTGTGATGACCTTATAGCGGCCTGAGACACGTGGGTTACGTCAGTGCGGGTCCGTGGCGCCATCTAGAATACATAGTGCAAAGTTCGATTCATAGTTCGGGTTCTGTGATGACGTCATAGAGGCCTGGGTCACGTCCATTATTGCATCCAACGCCTATCATTGCGTAAATGGAGTACACGCGTTATATAATTTTTTACTTATATGGTCACGTCAGTGTGTGTCGGTGGCGCCATCTAGCGTACGTAGTCCGTTGTGTCCTTTTACAGGATGATGTAGTGGTAAATAAAATAAATTCATAAATCAGCATGCCGCCGACGTTTAATGTGGGAACAAACATTTCACGGTTATTTTTACTTATAACTGATAAGCGTTTCCGTTCTAGCAAAAACAACAACAAGCTCGGACTTGCATTTATATTTTATCGATGATAAACATGCATGGATATTTTCACTGCCGACTAACTACATATATGTTTAATAATATATTTAAAAACATTCCAGCCCATAGCCCCATAATACTTCCAGTCATGTTGGACATTATCTATCACTCAACTAACAACCCTTAGGGCCAAAAAAGGGGTGATATCAAAAATTTAAAAAGTACCTAACTATACCATAACTCTTTTCAGGCGGGGACA